TGATGGTAATAGAACTAATTCTGAATTCAGTCGAGTTAAATTCAGCAAAAGGTGCCAAGGTTAACCACTCAGCAGTGAAAGACATACCTCTCGGGAGATTGTGTGGAAGTGGTGAAGAATGTATATATAAGTAAAATTCTTTTGGGGTATCGCCAAAAACTAGCCAAAAGCTACCGCGAAAAAAATTCACATAAAAAATGAATTATCTAACAATAAAAAAAGACTTTGCTTTACTAGACGTAACTGTTTACAAAATCTTTTTTCAAAACAACAATAAGAAAAAAACGCATGGAAAAATACTGTAAAAATTTTGCACGTTTATTCTCTACTACTAAGGGGTAGCACAACCATACCTGACTATTCCAATGTTGAAAGGTTAATAAAAGTTAACACTTCATGTAAAATAAGTGTGTATTTAAATTAATCTTGGATTTATTAACTTGTGAGTATATTATAATGTTTGGTTAAATCGATTGACTCTTTGATATAAGGTATGAAATATGAAAGGACACTCCTAAATTTTGCAAACGGAGTTAGATAGATAAATGCCGAGATCGAATGTGGAAACCATAATCTCAGCAGACAAATTAACTATACAGGATTGTTTGTTGCAAACCGAAAATCTAATTCTTTCAATTCAATTTTTTTTTACTGAAGGGAGTTAGATATATGACCGACACGACTCTACTTCTAACAAAAAAAATTTGATGTATAGGGGCAAGACACTAGTAATTTTAGACAAAGAGCATATACTGTTGATTCTGTTTAATTAGGCCATCCGTTAATTGGGTAGCAGTTTAATTGAAGCAAAGTAAATTAGTCACAATGTGTTCCAATTAAACGGAATCGACTGTATTTTAAATTTAATGAATTAAAAATAAGATTAAAAATTGCAGTCCGGCATTATGGCAATGTCATAATAATTTATCATGTTAAGATTAATTATGGTAGTTTCAAAGAATTATTATATTTATTTTTCGGAATTTATTATTAAATTTAGATTATATCTTACAAAATAAATTTTACAATTAAATAACCAAAGTTACAGCTGTTTGTTTTGTGCTAAGTCATACAAACAACATTATCAATGAAAAAGTGCAATTAATAACAATGTGTCCAGTGGAACAACAAATTTTACATGCAATATATTCTTGTATAGGTGTAAGGTATAATTTTCCAATTGCAAAGTAAACTAGCTCTAATCAGGAAATCTCAAAATAATTATTAATTAAGAATAAGCTAATAAAGATTTCCAGATAAAAATTCACATGCTATAAGCAACTTTGAATTTTCCTGGTAATTCATTAATTGTTCTTCACATATAAAACTATTTTGTAAAAGTCACATTTGAATACAGTATTTCCAAGAAACTTTGTGTTATACTGGTACATTTATTTCCTTTTAGTATTAGTTAACTGGTTTCACAACTTCATCCAACTGTCTAGTTCTCCAGTCAGCATTGTGTAATAAAATTGTATTTTACGTATCGAAAATACTATATTCAATAATTAATTTACTTTCGTATTATTTGTTATTCAAATCGAAAATACTTGGAATTTTAAAAGCTAACATGAAAATATTTGGTATAATATATAAATTTTGTAGACGAAAAATTTATATATTATAGAAGTGAAGGACATTAAGGCATTTTAATTAAATATTCGTAGCTGCAGTTATACTTTGAAGCATGACGATACTGACACAGTCTACTTACTTAAGTAACTTTTAAATTATAACAATAATATAATTTGGTTGCAATTTAAAAAAATTATATATATACACATTCTTGTTGTTGTCTGTTTGTGTATCTGCCTGTCCTTCCTTAATCTCGAGAGCCATGTTAGGTAGATGACTGTTGACCAGATATGAGAAAGTGCAGGACGGAAGACCCCAATTGACTATAGGAGAGCTTCTGAAAAAAACTGAAAGTCACGTTATTTTAACAGAGTTTCCTTTTGAAAGGAGTTAGATATATGACAGACACCACGCTATCGTTAACAGGAAAAGTATAATGTACAGGGGCAAACCACTAATTTTCATGTAGAGTGCAAATATTTTTAATTAAATAAATGAATTTAATTAAAAATATAACTAAAAATTGCAGTCTCGCATTGTGACCATGTCACAATAAAGAATTGATTGTTTTTTTTGAGGTTTAATTTTAAATGAGAATATAAATCGACGACAGAAATTCAAAATTTGTTACAATTATAAAAATTCATATTGTCGCATTATGTCATTACAATTTTGTAATTTATAGACCCCATTCAGGTATCGTGATTCAGTTGTGCATTTTACCTTGGATTAAGTAAAATTTTGCTAATGAAGACTCTACTAGAAGAGATTATTTTAGAAGATTTTATATTGTGATATTGTATTATGATGTTTAAAAACCAATACTGAGTTATTTTTTTTACAGATTGATACAAACACTGGCCATAATACGACAACAATATTTTGAAGCTTGACAATCATCTAAGGTTTACTTCTACATTGGAACAGGCACACTTGGCCTTTTCAGGTATGGCAGTTCGCTTATCTTAATAACACTGTGCGTCTTATTTAAATAAATATAAAATTATGGGGTAAAGCTTATTTTAAAAATACACTGGTACCTCATACATTAAAGAAGCCTTCTTTTTCATGCTGTAGATTTGGAATGCAAAATTCAGCAAAAATTTGTTGCAAAGTTCGAACGATGCTTTAAAGTTTAAATTGCATGCACAGTAAATAAAACGTGTTCGAATTATGAACACAATCAGTTATCTCTTGCTTTTGTGTTAGGGTTGAATGCTTTTAGTGTTTTATATACTGTATTGTTGTTATTCGTCATTCTAACAATTTCTTCCTGCAGTTTTTCTTTGTCAACAGATTTTAGATGACCACTACCATTTGTATCTTTTAGTTAAAAATTTACTGAAAGAAAACTTTTTTAACCACATTCGAAGTTTAGTAGCATCTTTCCCATACACAGAACATGAAGGTGTGCAACGAACAAATGCGATATTTAAGATGTTAAATTGAGAGAATTTGCAATTTAAAATAGAAATTCATCAAAGGTATAAAGATTCTACATACTCAAATCTTTAATTTAATGAATTTTGTGAATTGTTTAATTTCTAATCTTGTTTGTGGAGTAGGTTTAGTATTGAACTTACTCACTCTTGCTCTTAGACAAAACATCTGGTATGCATTTATGCCACTTAAGATTCGATGATGAGTCTATATGAAAAAGTTTACTACTTTATTTTTAAGTAGTAGTGGTAATTCAGTATACTTTGGGTTCTATTTTATTTTTATTATAAGATTTCGTGCAAAGCACTAATGCATTTTGGAATATAATTTTTTAAGAAATATGATTCGTCTTAATTTTCTTCTTCGAATTTATTTTACTTTGAATTTATTTAATTTTTCTATCATATCATCAAGAACATTACAAATATCCCAAAGTACCTTAACTAATATAATTAAACTATATCAATTAACAGCAATATGAGAATCGTCATTATTTTATTGTTAAATGGTAAGCCTAATGGTTCAGTCACAATATACTATGTAATATTGAAATGTTCTTATTTATCAATATGTGATAAATTTACACCTTAATTTGATTTAAGAACAACCTTCATGCTTGGTGCTTTAGAGCAGAGTGAATAATTGTTATTAAGGAGAGAGAGAGAGAAAAAAAAATTGCTTTACTTTTTTATGTGAAAAAATAAAGCAAAAGAATTTTTTTATTATCAGAAACAATGTATTTTGTGTTTTAAGTTTTTTCGTTGTTTAAGTTTAAAATAGATTTTGTAAAGTTCTTCGTTGTTTTCTTTTCATATTAAAAACAAGTGAGAAACAAAAGAAACATAATGTTATGTGTTAAACTAAACTCCCTAGAAATAATCTGTCTCAATTTAGATGAAAAACGATTTAAATAGTTTAAAAGCGATTATAAATAAAAATAAAGTATTACGTATGTCGCTAAACGGTGACTCGAAACTCAGCAAACACTAAAAAATTTACTCAAGATTTTAACATCAAATTGATTAGTCGTATTAAGCTGTATATATTTGTTGTTATAATTAAAGTTGTATTATTTAAAAAAAGGAAAATAAGATCGCTGATAATATTCTGAAGTGTTTGCTGTATATTCATGTTGTACAAGAGAACTACAGTTCGTTTCATAAGTGAAAATATCACTAATCATATCTAGTATTTAAACTCAGAGACAACGACTGAAAAGTGAATGGTTTACAGGAATTTTAACATTACTTATAAAATCTAAATAATAAATCAAAAGTAAAAAATGTTTGTTAGTGATGAAATGTCAGAAGATTATATATGAAACGTACTTTGGGCATTCGTTAATTAATAATAATTTGAAAATGTAAATAATGTGTAGTATTGTATATTTATTTATAGCTTATTCTCAAAGTACAAAATGAATTAATATGTGCTATGTAATAAAAAATATTCACAAACCATGTGTAGAGAAACAATAATTAATAGCTTTCACTTTCAAACTGTATAAGAACGAATTCTTAATATATTCAATCTAGGTTAAAATAAAACTTTTCAAATACAAAATCTAAATTTTAGTCAATCATTTAATTGAATTTATTTCAATAATGTTCAATTTTCTTTTTTTTTTATAGGCAAAGTAATATCTTGTTGCTATTAATAAAAATAGAAACATGAAAATTGACTGTGTGAGGAAACAATTGTCGATCCTTTTTCGAAAATTAGGAAGATTAATCGGACTTTATCCGTACTGCTTTATTCTTATTCCTATTTTAATAACAGCGACATTCTCAGCATTCGTATTCAATATAAACACAATCTCAAGCACAATCCAACTGACATTCGCAGATTCAGGAAAAGTCTATAATACTAAGAAGTTCGTTGAGGAAACGTTTCCTTTTAACACATCGAAATTCTTTGATCCGACAAGATATACAAACATACCAAAATGTGTGTTTGTGATATTTACAAAGAAAGGTGGTGGTGACATGCTCGAAAAAGATGTGCTACTAGAAATAAGTTTGGCGGATCGACTAATTAAAAATATAACAATTAATTATGAAGGTGTAAACATTGGATATTCAGATATTTGTGGACGTGTAGGCGAAAAGTGTTTTGAAAATCCGATTATCGAAATATTGCCCGATATTGATAATATAGTGCAGAGAAAAAAGAAATTAAAGTATCCGATCGACATAGATCCACTGACATACTCTTATCAAATTAATTCTCTCAACTTTGGGGGTGTAATCGAAGATGAGAACGATGTGATTCAAACAGTAAATGCTATCAGATTAACGTATTTCACAGACGAGAGCGACGAGAAAAAACAAAATGTCATAGAAAGATGGCGAACAGAAGTTTATAATCGAATAAGAATTTATCAATTTAAACATGTTCTGTGTTTTATTGATTACACCTGGTCAATAGAAGAGCGAAATGTGCAATTAAAGAATAATATAAAACCGATGATAGCGGCACTGGTTGCATTTATTTCTGTTTTTACTGCTGTTACGTGTATGAGCAACAATTGGGCAAAAAGCAAGCCTCTTCTAGGTGTTGCAAGTGTCGTATCGGCTGGTCTGGCCGTAATCACATCTTTCGGATTCATGTCGGTTGTCGGTGTACAGAATAGTATTTGGAACATCACCATTCCATTTTTAGTTCTCGGTAAGTGATTACTTACGCTTTTATATTTGTTCTCTTTTCGATTGTGATTTCTTCAATTAATAAAGATTTTCTGTTGTAGTGACAGAGATCGACGATGCCTTCGTATTGTTAGCGTGTTGGAGAATATCAAACCCCAAGCATAAAGTACACAAACGTATGGAAGAAACATTTGGTGAAGCAGGAATTTCTATAACGTTAACATCATTGACGAACCTATTTTCCTATTGCATTGGAATGATGTCACCTTTCCCTCTTATAAGAATGTTTTGTTATTATTCTGCAACCAGCATAGTGTTTACGTTTTTGTATCAGATAACGTTTTTTGCAGGGTGCATGGCATTATCAGGACGCAGTGAAGAGAAACAACGACAAAAAGCACTTCGTGTTATTTTCGGTAAGTTCATTAAACTTTTTAAATTGTATATATATAGAATATGGGATTTTTCATAATTTGTATGCCATACGACATTGTAGAGAGTGATTATTGGCAAAGTATGAGGAGTAAGTATGTTGTGTATATGATGCATTATTTCGTTTAACTGTTCTGTTAATTAATGGAAAATGATTTGCAGAAACTTAATTTTTGTGGGAATTTAATATATAAAACATTATCAGTATGTATAATTGTTTAATATTCTGGAAATATTTAGAGTTTATATATTATTAAAGCATTATGGTTGAAATGAAATCTGAATTTTAT